CAATCAATCAATCGATGTAGCTGTGAAAAACACCAATCACTTGTTTTGTCAAATCTTCAAAGTTTATTAGTAATAAAATAGTTCTTAAAAATAGTAATAAAATTAGAGTAATAAAAATTTGGACAATGAGGATTAGGACACTCCGAGACAATAAAAAGCAAAAAATTTTGGATGTCCAGATGTTTCTGGGCACTGAGCTGCCAAAAACATGCCTTGAACAAAGGGATAATACTTAAAAGCAACAGCCTGTTGTATATGTGTCTCATGTATATGTGTCTCATACATGGTGCATAAATTCCTTGCAAATTAAGAATTTTTCTGGTTTTTGTCAACTTCTTCCCCTTAATCCTGGTGGTTCCATAAAGACAGAGAGAAGGTGGAAGAATGTTTGTTTTTTCTGATAAGGAGGTTGTAACTCTTCAGGTTTCATGTTGGTGTTATCTCTATGCGAAGAGTTTCTTGATTATCTTATCCCATTCCTTGAGCTAGTAAAAAAATATCTTTCATCACATAGTTTCTATTTTAACATTATGTGATAACCTAAAACTACATTTAACACACTATTTTAAAAGGATTAATACAGTATTACAAACTAACCCTCCATAATACAGTATTCAATTTAATATTTGCGAAGAGCCAATCATAAAATACACATTTTATGAACAGCCAGGGGATGCACAACTGCCTCCCTTTGTCCCCACGGTGTGTATCCCCGGGATTTTTGGCCCAAAAATCTGACTTCCTCACATAGGTGTGAGGAAGGGATTTACTCACACACAAGGACTCTACTGCTGCCAACACAACAGATAAATCTGTTGCAAATCTCTGCAAGACTGGTGTCCAGTTGGACAAACTCAGAGACTGAATTTGTTGACTAGAGTCAAAAAATACACTTTGTTGTTTTTTTTTTTTTAATACTGATTGCTTTAAAATCTTCAAAGAGTCATGCCAGCATTACATGAAGTCCCCAAATGTCCCAGCGACAGCTCAGCCCAGTGGGACCCCCCCACCCTGTTTGGGGGCACAGTCACCATCAAAAATAAACCCCACGATCAGAGGTTTGGAGTCATGATTTCATTAGGGATTATTTGGGTTCCAGAAGCTGCTTCCAGCCCCACCAATGTGTTTCCTGGGGGGTGAATGCATCAGTTTTCTGCTCCCACAGCAGAGGGACAGATGTGGGGACAGGGGAGCTGAGCACAAGCAGTGATGACCAAGGAGGAGCAGAGCCCGCTGCCTGCCTGGGTGACCCAGGGTGAGTTTGTGAGGGGTTGTCAGTGTGACAGGGCATCTGTGAGTCCATAATGAACCTCGTGGGTGATGGTTTTTAATCAGAAATGTTCATTCTTCACCCAGTGCTCCTCTCTGCGTGCCTTGGTGAGAGAAGCTCCCCAAGGGAAGCAGTGCAGGGAACCCCAGAGCCCTTCCCCATCCCTGTGGGAGAGATGATTTGGTCCCTTGGCTGAATACAAACACAAAACTTGCTCAGTCCACCCATCCAACGAGGGGAAAAACCTCCTTGATATGCTGAGATCCATCTTTACTGGATGTCCCATCCCTGGAAATGCCCAAGGCCAGGTTGGACGGGGTTTGGAGCAATCTGGGATAGTGAAAAGCGGCAATGAGACGATCTTTAATTGTCCCTCCGACCCAAACCATGCCCTGATTCTGTGCCTGACCAAAGCCCAGGTGGCCACCGCTGTCACAGCCCCCACAGCCAACTTGCCCAGCGTCACTTTGGCGCTGGTGACCAGCTTTAATTCCCTGGCACGCTTGGCTGAGCACTCCCCACCCCCTTGCAGCAGCCTCCTATCCCAGAAGGAGCGCAGGAGCCTTTGCCTCAGTGCTCACACAGCTTTCAGCAGCTCCAATGTCATTGCCTTGGCGACCGGGACGCTACTCCAGTGTGGAGCAGTAAATAACGTAGATCCTCAATCCCAGGCCACTCCTGCCCGCTGGAGACCTCCGGGGGAACTCAAAACTCAGGTAGGAGGGGAAAAAAAGCCTCCAAGAGCAAACCCCTTGCTCTGGGTGCGGGTGAGTTTCTCGATAACGCGGCTGGAGGATGATTTGCGGCCGCTTCGCTTCGTGGGCTTGTGACACAATATTGAAGTGCCTTGGAAAGTTTGTTCCCAAGTGGTTTAACTCTGGAGTGAGAGCACTTTTGGAGGAGCCTGGGATGGGAGAAGCAGCAGAGGAGATGGATGCTGGTGGGATGCAGGGGCTGGCTGGGTGCTCCAGGTCCCTGTGGCGGCCTCAGCCTCCTGCCCCATCACGAGCTGCTGTCAGAGAGGATTTCTCTCCAACCTGCCTCCCCTTCGGAAGAAAATTGTTGATAAGCTGCTGGACCTCACAGAGGGGTCCTGAGATTCGAAGCAGCTCGCTCGCTCTCCCTCCACTGCTTTTACAAACCTCATTTTGCAGGTGTGAATTTAACAGTCCGGGACAAATGAGTGATAGCACAGGGCAGCATTGGGCTGGCAGCATTCTTTTCAAACTTTAAGTTGTTTGCTGTGGGCTGGATGATCCTGATGGGTCTTCTTGTGAGGAGGAGAGAAAGTCCAGGGCCAGTTTCCAAGTCATGGAGCAGCTCCGTGTGAGAGGTGGAAACGGCTCTCAGAAGTCCTGCTCTGCCAGAGAGCCCTTAGGAATTAGTCATAGCCCTGTTACATTGAGTTGCTGCATTCATCTCCCCTTCAGGCGGCTGCAAAACGCTGTCATGTTTCCTTCTGGGCCGTTGGGGTGGTGGGATAGCAGTAAATCACCAATTGATAACAAATACTGAGCATTTCTGGTGCTAAACCCGAGCCCTGAAGTTGATTGTGAGCTCAAAGTTGCTCCTTCCAGAGAGTGCAGAAACTCAGTGGGCAAACTCAGCCAGTTCCCAGCAAGGCTGAGAGCCCACGGTGAGTTTATAGTTGAGTTTATAATCATTCTAATAATTTATTAGACCTTATTAATCATCCTAATATTGATTAGAATGTATATTTTATTTATGATGTGACCTCTGTGGTCACAACACGTGAGTATTGGCGCGGTTGGATAGACTGAGGTTCCTCTGCTCTGCTTCTCCAGGAGCTGTTCTCCCTTTTTGGGGTGGCTGTAGGGACTTCAGTCCGTGCTTTTCCTTCTCCCTCTGTCTCTGGGGCTGGGTTTTTCTGCAGGACCGTGGAAAAGTGAGTAGGTGGAGCTTTTCCATAGTAATCTTTGGGAAGGATTTCAGCGGCTGTTCCCAGGGATGCTTCCCAGGACAGCGGGGACCGGAGCCGGTGCCTCTGTTGGCAGCTTTTTCCCCCACTGCCAGGCTCTTTTCCCATCTGCAGCCTCCCTGCAATGCCCTGACCAGCAACAGAGGGAAGCAGCAATCCAGGGAACGCGGCAAATCCCACCGGCAGCCCTGGATCCCAGCACCAACCCCCTGGTTTGCACGTTTTGGTATTTTTTTCCCTTAAAAACCTGCAAGAAATCCAGTGCAGGTCCCCCCTGAGCTGTGCCAGCAGTGCCAAACATCCCCCATCACCTCCCTGCTACATCGAGGTGGAAGGGATGGAGAATTCCTTGCTGGACCCTTTCCCTGGGAGAGGAGATCCCCACTTTAATAAGAAGTTTATAATAAGTTTATAACAGTAATAATCCTCCTGGGGGAGTCTGGCTGGAGAAGTCTTGCTGGAGGAAGTCAGGATGAAACCCCAGGTCTTCCTCTGGAGTGGGGAGCTGGTGACAGCAGGGAGCTGAGCTGGGCTGTGGCTGGTCCTGACCTCAGCCCCAGGTGCCATTTGCTCAGCCTTGGGCACAGGGATTGCATCCAGGCCACCAGGAGCACTTCCAGAGAAATACAGAATTAGGCTCTAAGGCTCTTCCCAATTTACCTTTGATTTTGATGTTGCACAAAGCTCCCACTGCTTCCCACAGGGGTGACTTTTCCTTCTGCAGGACCTCACCATCACGGTGGTTTTCCAGATTTCCAAATGTGAACACCTCCAGCATTCCCTGAAATGGGGCTCCGCATGGCAGCTCCTTTTGGAGGGAATTAGATCAGCACCAGACTGATTTTGGGGAACCCTTTTTGTAGGTAAATTATTTGGTTGTTGGAATCTGTGGTATTGATGATTCCAAGATTGTAGAAAGTCTCTGTCTTTCTGCCCCACTGCCAAAGCAGAAGCCATAATTGGTCTGTGCTGGTTTCAAGGTTGTTTATTCTGTTTATCTCTAACATGTTCTGCTGCCCTGCCGCAGCTCTGTCCTGCAGGGCAGCGTGTGGGGCTCTGCCCTCAGTGGGATGGTACAAACATTAAATACCAGAAACTACCTGTGCTGGATTTACAATAACGTACCAATATCTGTCACCTACGTTGGACAGTGTGTCCCCAGCCTGAACCAACAGAAAAATGCCAACACCACAGTGAAACATGGAGGGCATGAAGAAGGAGAAAAAGGACAAGGCACACCCAATTTCCTCCATCTTGTCCCCTTTGGACCCCTCATCTAGAATCCTAAAATTTTACTTTTGCACCCGTGCCACACTTAATTATTATTCATATCAAACACTCAGAGCTTGTAATTCATGCTGTAAGATTGAAAACTCTTTTCCATGGGCAGAGATCACAGACAGTGTCTCTGGGGGCTCTGTCCAGGGGCGTTCCTGACCCCTGCCAGGGTCCCAGGGCAGCCAGAAGGATGCCCTGAATTCCCACAGTGGGTAAATTCTTTGCCAAGGCAGGTGCTTGGTGCTGGGCTGGCACTGTTGCTGCAGAGGTGCTTGCCCAGGAGGAGCAGGGATCAGAGCAGCAGGGATCAAATCACAGCACTCACCCCCCAGCTTCCCCTGGTACCCCTCAGCTCAGAGCTCAAACACGAGAAGACGCTGGCCTGGCTTTGCACACCCACGCTGTGCTTTGAAAGAGTGAAAGGGAACTTCCAAAACGCCCTTAAAATAGTCAGATTTCTTTCCTTTTGAAAACGAGAGCAGCCACGTGGTTAGAGCTGGTGTCACCCATGATGACCACACAGCCGGGGCGGTGCAGAGGTGCTTTCTCCTCGGGAGGAAAAGGCCTGGCTGCTTCCTGAAGCTGCTCTGGGCCAGGGAAAGCAGCATGGAAGAAGGGTAAGGGTGCCAGCAGTGCTCTTCTGTCACCTGCATCTGTTCTAGGCTTTTCTTCCTCCCACAGCTGCCCGTGGGTCCTTTCAGGTGGGATGAGGAGGGATGGGAGGACACCAGACTCTGCTGTTGGCTGTCCCTGACATGTTCCTGACATGGAACGAGCCCTCCTGTGCCCACCTGTGCCCACCTGTACCCACCTGTGCCCTCCTGTGCCCTCCTGTGCCATGGGGATTCCTCCAGACAGGGTGGCTGCGGATGCTGTGTTTTGTAGAAAGCAGCTCACGGGATCTACGGGCAGGGAAAGTTCCCTGCTTTCATTTTCACTCCTCCCTGCAGCCAGCTGGTGTCCAGCTGAGTCAGAGGGGCCACCCGAGCATCCCTGATCCGAGAGCAGCTGCCCTCCCTCCCTCCCAAAAGGCAGGAAGTGTCGCCTTCTCACTATGACATGTCCAGCCAGCAGTGGGTAAAAAGGACAGCCAGATGTGCCTGGGGGTGTCAGCCAGGGCAGGGAGGATGTCCTGCTGCTTGCAGGGAGAGGGTGAGGAGGAGGATGATGGTTGCCCACAGGGGAAGGCAGCACGAGGCTCAAGATGGCTCCATGACACTTCCGGCTCCCGCTGCTGGGCCTGACAGGCTCTGGGCAGGCAGGGAGAGCTGGGCCGGGCTGCTTTCCTCCAGGAATCCTCCTGCAGGGACACGGGGAACGGGCTGGGCTCAGCGTGCCTCTGGTTGTGGCTGTGCAGCAGCATCCAGGAGGCTTTGGCTGAAAATCAGGGTCATCCCTGGCCTGCGCTGCTGGGGCTGTGGGCACTGCCCCACCATGGGCCACGGGGGTGTCCAGGGCTGTGGTCCCTCATGAGGGGCTCTGGAGGGCTCTGGTCCTCAGTGTCCCCACCATGATGGTTCTGGGGGTCTCTAGTCCTGTGTGTCCCCACCGTGATGGTTCTGGGGGTCTCTGGTCCTGTGTGTCCCCACTATGATGGTTCTGGGGGTCTCTGGTCCTGTGTGTCCCCCCCCAATTGTTCTGGGGGTCTCTGGTTCTGTGTGACCCTCACAGTGGCCCCTGGGGGTCTCTGGTCCTGTGTGTCCCCACCATGATGGTTCTGGGGGTCTCTGGTCCTCAGTGTTCCTCATGATGGGCTCTGCTCCTGTGTCCCCCACAATGGCCCCTGGGGGGGGGGTCTCTGGTTCTCTGTTGTCCCCATGAAGGGCTCTGGTCCTGTGTGTCCCCCACAATGGTTCTGGGGGGTTTTTGTCCTGTGTGTCCCCATGACGGCTCTGAGGGTCTCTGGTCCTGAATGTCCCCATGATACTTCTGGGGTACTCTGGGGGTTTCCGGTCCTGTGTGTCCCCCACAAGGGACCCTGGAGTCCCTGACCTGTGTGTCCCCTGCCGTGGGCTCTGGGGCTCTCTGGTCCCTGCTGTGCTGCTGGGAGGGAGCTGGGATTGAGGGATTCCTGTGAGATGGCACAGCATGGCACGGCACAGCATGGCACAGCATGGCACAGCATGGCACAGCACCCTGGCACTGCTAACCCTGCTGTTTCCCTTTGCCCCCAGAGTGATCTATCCTCTCTCGGACTCCCCCCCTGTGAAGATGTCCCAGTCACCCCCAGCTGATGAAGGCCCCACGTTCGAGCACCTCTGGAGCACGCTGTAAGTGGGGTGTGATCATTCCCCACGGGGGGTGTTTGGAGGCAGAAGTGGCTCTTTGACAGAGACAAATTTCCTTTTGCATCCTCTGCTTTCCACAGACTCCTTTGCCACCTGGCAGATTTTGCTCCCTTGTTTCAGGCTCTGCTCAGGACATTCCATTTGCCACGTCTGTCTCATGGGTAGCTCCTTCCTGGCAGCATGGAGACAGTGTCAGGGCCAGAGCAGAGCTCCCCTCAAGCTGGGACCCTTAATTCCAAAATTAAATATCTTCCAGCCCCACCAAGATGTTTGCAAGTCTTCTGGCCTTTGAGCCTCATGCCCTAATCCAGCAAGGGAGAAGGATTGTGCTTCATTTAATCTTCTTCCTCCCTTGGTCCTCTCACGTAAAGACATCCCAAGGTGACAGATATGCTGGGGTAGCTGGGTGGATGCAGCATTTCCTACATCTACTGCTCTGCCAGGTGGAAATAAAAGCAGAGGATGGGGGAAGAAGTTGGGAAAGGGACAAGGTTTGAGGGGACTGCGAGTTGCTGGGGGGGTGGTGGTGGCACGGGCTGAGTTGGAGAGCTGGGAGATGACTGTGCCCTCACCTTCTGCTCAGGGAACCAGACAGCACCTACTTCGACCTCCCTCCAGCCAACCCCAGCGGCAGCAATGAGGTCTCCGACCGCACCGAGGTCACGATGGACGTGTTCCAGATGAGAGGCATGACTGACTCGGTGATGGTGAGTGTGCTCACACAGCAGGGATGGGGATCTGAACCAGGCACACACTTGATTTCCCTGCAGGGGTGGGCTGGGGGCTCTGGGGGAGGCACTGAGGAGTTTGCTGGTTCATAAACCAACCTTGCTGGCACTGGTGCAGGGTTAATCAATGGCACAAGGTTCAGTGAACCTGGCTATTTATTGTTAGATAGCAGCAGTGCAGGCAGCAGAGGGGCTCTCGGGGAGTACAGGACAGCAGCACAGTGTCACTCACTCCGGGACAAACCTGCCTCTGCATTTGTGAGCTGCTGCTGGAGGAGCACGCCGTGCTCGCAGCTCTGCTCCCACCGCAGCCCCAGGTCCTGCTGCTGCCCTCCCTGCCAGAAGCCTTTGCTTCTCTCTGAGACAAAGTCTTGGAAAAGCATCCCGGCTGCTTGTGGTGCCCGGGAGCATCCCTGAGGCTCCCTGGCTGTTGGCTGCATCTCCCTGCGAGGAGACGCTGTTTCCCTCTGGAAAATCGCTGTTTCCCTCTGGAAAGTCGCTGTTTCCCTCCAGAAAGTCGCCGTTTCCCTCGCTGACAGCTTGCCTCCCCTCCCCCAGCCCCTTTTCCCTCGCTTTCCGCTCACTTTCCCTCCTCTTGCCGGCCTTTCACAGCGGGCAGGAGCCGGGCAGAGCGCTGCTAATTGTGGCTGTGCCCCTCGCTGGGCGAGCCTCGCCTTTCCCCTCGCTCCGCTGCAACCAAAGCTGAGCACGGCGGGGATGGAGCAGCCTGGGGTGCAGGACAAGAAGTGCTCTGCTAAGGGGATGCCAGTGGCCTGAGGGGAAGGCAAGAGAGGGGAGAGGCTGTGGAGGGACCACTCAGTCCGTGCTGGTTCCCGCTGTTCTTGGCACACATTGGTGCCAGAGTGGTGCTGATGCTCGGTGGCACTGAGCGGGTCACCCCAATGCTCTGTCAGGCATCTATCCCTGACTATTCCTGTCTATCCCTCTAGATACCCATCCATCCATCCATCCATCCACCCATCCACCCATCCATCCATCCATCCATCCATCCATCCATCCATCCATCCATCATCCATCCATCCATCCATCCATCCATCCATCCATCCATCATCCATCCATCCATCCATCCATCCATCCATCATCCATCCATCCATCCATCCATCCATCCATCCATCCATCATCCATCCATCCATCCATCCATCCATACATACATACATACATACATCATCCATCCACCCATCCATCCATCCACCCATCCATCCATCCATCATCCATCCATCCACCCATCCATCCATCCATCCACCCATCCATCATCCATCCATTCATCCATCCACCCATCCATCCATCCATCCATCCATCCATCATCCATCCATCATCCATCATCCATCATCCATCATCCATCCATCCATCCATCACCCATCCATCCATCCATCCATACCCCATCCATCCATCCATCCATCCATCTATCCATCCATCCACCCATCATCCATCCATCCATCCATCCATCCACCCATCCATCCATTTGGATAAAGACAACTCCGTATCTCCCAGACACGGAGCTCTCGCAGAGTCACTGCCCTGCCTGCTCAGCGCGAGGCTGGGCACCTCAGTGAGCTGGTGACAGGTGCCAGCCCAGCAGATCTCCATCCCCGTGGGGCTGGAAGAAGCTTTTGGGAGCGGGATTCGGGCAGGTTTGGCGGTGGAGCTGGACCCCTGCTCTCCCTGCAGTGGGAATGGTTGGTATCGCCCAGTCCATCACTGGGCAAGCTGGGGCCTGCCCTGTGCTTTAATGAATAGTCATGAGGGACAGAAGGGGTGGGCCCCGTTTTGTTGTTGGATGCAGCGAGTTGACAGAACTAAGGGAGATGAAAAAAGCAAGGAAGCCAACAGACGGCGGCACACGGGTGGCCAGCGCGGCATCCCTGGCGCTGCCCGCCCGGCCCCGCTCCGCGCTCCTTCCTCCCACCCCGACCCCATGACTCCCGGGGCAGGAGGCTTCCCCAGGCTCCGTGAACCCCGAGACAACTAAAATGCTCTACATCAGCGACCCGATGCAGCATTACACCACGGTAGGTGCTGCTTTGCTTTGATGCTCTTAGAATTATCCTCCGCTTCTGGGGCACCTGGGGTGGCTCTGCCTGCCCAGCCTGGTGCTGCTGCCCAGGATGCTCCGAGGGCTGTCCCAGTGCGTGGCTGTCCCTGACCTGGAGCTGGTCCAGCCCTGCTCGTGTTGGTGCAGGAAGCTGCAGCCTCGGCAGTCACTGCTCCTCTTGCTTTGCCCCATCTGCTGCTTGCAGAGCCCCAGGTGTGATTTAAAGCTCAGGTGTCGGGAGTGCAGGTCCCTTAGCTGTGTGTGCGCAGGGAGGATGGATGTCAGCCAGAGCATCCATCCAAGGAACACCTGGAGGTGCTGGACACCACCAGCACCACTTTGTCATCCCACACCACACACCTGCCTCCCCAGGCAGACTTCTCCCTGGTGGGAATCCCTGGGAGGGCAGGGAAGGTGCAGCTATACCTGTGCTGCAGGTAATACATTTCCAGCCCTGTCCTCAAGCGCTGAGGTTGTTTCTTTAAGGAAAAGGGGTTTGTCTGTCCCTGGCATTCGGAACCATCCAGCACAGGCACAGAGGGAGCTGGAGATAGAAGGAAATCCCTTCATTCCTGGTTTTACCTTAATTGTGTTGGTACCAAGCCCGTGTATCCCATTGTTGGGGCTGTTCCATGGGAGGTCGTTGCTGCAGTTGTGTGAGTAATTATCCCTGTGTGTGTATGTACATATTTACACATACACACAAACACTCCTGCCTTCGATTTGTCTTTTAGGGGAATGTTTCCACAATTTCATCAATTTTGAACAGCAAGTCTGTGGTTTTGCCCACACACCTGACTCTGGGTCTCTCTGCCAGCAGATCCCCACAGTCTGGGCACTCAGGGTGCTGCCTCTTGCTTTGTGCGAGGAGCAGCCAGCCTGGCTGGCAGAGGTGATACCCTGGGTCTCATACCTCACCATCCTTCCTGAGGGAAGGTTTTCTCCCTCATGGAGCTCAGGATGCTCCGTTCTGTGGTGGGTCCCCGTTCCCCATTCACAGCCACAGCCTTCAGCTATGAACGGTTCTGTCTCAGCATGGGAGCAAAACAGCTCAGCCCTGATACTCCTGGATCAGCTGGGCTGTGAGCAGCCCCATCCAGCAGCAATCCCTTTTCCCTTGCTGCTGTTCTCCTGGTTGATCCCTCAGCTTTGCCTGTGCCCCATCCCTGGCCCTGTGCTGCCCGCAGTCCCTGCAGCAGCTGCATTTCCCAGCTGGATGGCAAGAGCTCTCCTAATGTGCCTGTTTTGCCTGAGTTTCTCATATTTTTTCTCCAGGTAAAGCCTGGATTAAGGAAAGCTTGGCTTGTCTTTGGCTGGGCTATTTATAGAGTGGTGAGGAGGAATAGAGGGATTTGGGCACATATTTTAGGGGAGAAAATAGCTGGATGCATGAAAGCAAGCCAGATCTTGTTCAGCATTCCTCTACTTAGTCACAGGCTCCAACGACCTTGTGAGAGATGCAGGCAACAGGAGAACTTCCCTGGAGAAGGATGATTGCCTTTAAACCATTCCACATGGAAGAGGGTTGGGTGAGGTTGGGATCCCAAGTTAAAACACGTTTCCTGATTCCTGAGCCGTGAGCCTTGCAGCCCTTTGGAGAAGGCTGAGCCTGCTGGCTGTGCCCATGGCTGCCTCCACAGCTCTTGTCTTCCCAGAGCTGCCCCAGTGGGTGCTGGAGACAGGGACAGTCCCTGCCAGGCAAGAGGGCAGTCCCAATGCTGGGAGCACTGACACATGGCAATGCACCCAGCACTGAGCACGGTCACCAGCACTGCCACTGCCTCTGGGGCTGCAGGGTGAGAGCAACCCCTGAGCAATTCAGGAATTGCAGATTTCTGGGGGAAAACCCCATCCCACTTGCTCTGAGAAACAGCCGTGTTTGAATCTGATTTTCTAATGAAATACTAAGATAGTTTTAGCCACACGGCTCTTGGGAATGTCGCTGTGCTTGGGCTGTGCCTGTGGGCAAAGGAGCTACCAGCTCTTATTGGAAGAATCTGACAATAATTGGTCAGAGGAGGAATAAGGAAAAATTTGTAAAAAGTCATGATTTGGTCAAACGAGTCTGGAATAAGAGCCAGGACCTGCCTAAGCGGGTCCATTTGCCCTGTGACTTTGCTGCAGCGCTCTGCATCGCAGCCGTGTGCTTTGTAGGTTTGAGGTTTCCCCCAAATTAGAGCTGCAGCAGGCACTGGGAGCAGCTATCCCACTGGGAAAACAGCTACAAACCACTGCTGGTGGAGGGAAACCCAGGAGTGGTGTGGGGTGTGTGTCTGTCACCAGTGAACAGGGACAGCCTGGAAAAGAGGCTGGAAAACGGGACAGCCGCTCGGATGGAGCGATGTGGGGACTGCTGCTCACCTCGGCAGGGTGGTTTCAGAGAGCTGTGACACTCTGGACAGCGGGGAGCAGAGCCCTGCGTGCAGGACAGGGCTGTCACTGCCCACCTACAGCTGAGCAAACCCCACGACATCCCTGCCCTCTGCCCACTGTCAGAAGCGTTGGCTTTCACGAGGCAGGTGCTCCAGAAATCCGGGACTGTGGCACCTCGCTGCCTCCAGCGAGGATGGAGCAGCCCGAGGGGGGTATTTAAGCACAAGGATTTCAACCCTGACCTGTCAGAAAAGCCGAGCCACCCAGACCAGCTCTTTTGACTCCCCTCCGCACGCTGGCCCTTTAAGGAGGCTGTAACAGGACACCCCAGCCCTGGAGAAAGGTGGCTGAGGTTTCCCTGTCTCTAAACTGGCTGGTGTTTTCTTTTTTTCCCTCCTCCCCTTTTCCCTTCCTCCAGTCCCAGTTCAATTTGCTGAACAACAGCATGGATCAGAGCATCGGCAGCAGAGCAGCCTCCACCAGCCCCTACAGCTCCGAGCACACCTCCAATGTCCCAACGCACTCGCCCTACTCGCAGCCCAGCTCTACCTTCGACACCATGTCCCCGGCCCCCGTCATCCCCTCCAACACCGACTACCCTGGTCCCCACCACTTCGAGGTGACCTTCCAGCAGTCCAGCACCGCCAAGTCAGCCACCTGGACAGTAAGTTGCGTTCTTCTACCTCGGCTGGGGAGATGCTCAGCGCGGCCGAGCGCGTCCTCACCGCCGGCACCCGAGGCGGTGACACTGGGGAGGCTGGCACGGGGCAGCTGAGGGATGCAGCCGCCACCAAGGGTGACTTCACTGGCACAGGTGGTGGCCCTGGGAAGGAAAGCGTGCTGGAAACATCCGTGCTGCCTTTCCAGGGGGTTTCTCCCAAAGGGGTGTGAAGCACAGCGGCTGGGATGTCACTTCTCTCGTGGCGATTCCCTAAATTGTGGATAAATATCTTCTGAAAAGTAATGTCCTGAGGAAGTACCTGCCTTGTTCTCACGGTGCTTCCCGGCGTATTTGCCAGCGGCGCTGTCAGAGGCGAGCCCGTGGGCGAGAGGGACCTTTGCCGGTGTCTGCCGGCACCGTTCCCAGCTGTGCTGTAAATGTCATTTATAGTCCGTCCCCCTCCCGTGTTACAGGGGTAACTTAGTGCCTATAAGTCACAGCAAACAACAGGGCAGGATTTTACGTGCAGTAGGGTTTGATGCACGGAGGGATGGCTGCACAGCCCCTGCTGTCCTCTCGGGAGCCGGGATGCAGCTTTGGTCCACGGCTGCTCCCACCGCCCTCCTGCTGCCCGGCCCGGGAGAGCTCTGCGAGCAGGACCCGGGGCCGGGCAGAGCGCACGGGAGGTGTTTGGCTTTTTGTGACAAAAGGTGCTAAATTCGCAGCCCGGCTGCTGGCTCAGCGCGGCGTTTTTAAGGAGAAGCAGCACTTGCGGCCGGTGGCACGAGTGTCAATCCCGCAGCGGGTACCTCTGCAGTACCCGGAGGGCAGCTCTCCATCCCTGAGCCGGGTTTTCTCCTCCGGGAAGCACCGGCAGAGCAGGAGGGTTGGGATGGCACGACTGACACCCCGCAGGAGCAGCGGAGTTTCCTCCGGGGCTGCGGTTTGACATTGTCATGGAAGGGGCAGAGCAGCCCGGCGGTATTTAAGCCCCGGGTGTGGTAATGACCTTTGTTTGCGGAAGGTGACGTGTTTAATTGCCAAGACAGTCCCTCCTGCGGGAGACAGAAAGGATCCGCGGATGCTGTCGTGCAGGGACACCCCGGGCAGCGGCCATGGGGATGCTCCCGGTTATCCTGGGGAGGATGCAGGGGGAAAGCAGCAGCGAGCCCGTTTGCAGGCAGCGATCGGGCTTTTGATTCCCGATCCCCTGGTGCAGTCCAGCGCTTCCCACGGAGCGGGGTTAAGCGCCCTGCCCTTGCTGGGGTGGTTGTCTCCACTCTTTCCACTGTCTTCCCTTGCGGCATTTCATTTAGGAAGTGAGTGAAGCGGAGGTCCTCGGGCAGGATGTGATTCCAGCCCACTCCTGTCCCTGCTGGGGGATAACTCCTGTCAGCCACAGGTAAAGCTGCCCAGGGACCGGAGCGTTCCCTAAAGCGGCCGAATGGAAAGCGAAACAAGGCACTGCAGCGTGTCTTGTCCCGGCACGCAGGGATGGGGGCCAGAACGTGTCCGATGCTCGGCTGCCACTGTCCCCAGCTGGGAGTACTGAGGGATGGCTTTGGGGTGGAGCAGTCACAGCGCAGCAGGGCTCCCCTCCTGAAAGCCATCCCATGCCCCGGCATCCTTCCAGAGTTCCAACCAAAGGGAGCTCAGGCTGTCTCACATCACTCTGTGCTGACTGCAGCTGTGTCCCACTGGGAGCTCGGCTCACCAGCACAGGATGTGGCTGGTTTTCCCAAGCCTTTGTGGGAGTTCAGGGCAGGCAGTGGCACACGATGCCCTCCCAGCCTTGAGGGAGCAGCTGGACCCGGGAGCTGCCTGGAGAACAGGCTCATTCCAGGGGTGGCTGGGAGCATCTGTGGAGGATGCATCCACCAGCCACAGCTACAAGGAGAGGTCCTGGGAAGGGTCCAGGGTGAGGATTTGAATGCCAGAAGTGGCTTTAACCTGAGGCACAATGCTGCAGTGGCTGCATCCCCCAGAGCAGGTTGGCTGCAGGGCCAATGCCCACCTGCACTGGAGCTGAGCCCCGTGGAGAGCAGCAGTGGGCTGGCAGCACCTGGCACCCTGGAGAGCACAGGGGATGTTTTATTTGAAGCAGTGATTCCTTCAGGATTGCCAAGGAGGGTGCAGCATGTCCAGCTTGCCAAGGTGCCACATGAGGAATGGTCCTGCTGCAGTGACAGCTGGTGTCACTCCCTGTCCTCCTGGTGTCCTCCTGGCTGGGGCTGTCACAGGCATGGTCAGTGCTGGAAGATGAGGCCGCTGCCTTCCTCCAACTCGCTGTGAGCTCTGCAGTGCCACTGCCACACCTGAGAGTCCGTCCTGGTTTAACGGGGAAAGGAGCTCAGCAAAACAAACGTGTTCTGTGTTGTCAGTGATCTCACAAATAATTGTGTGAGCCTCCACAGGAGCTGGGAACACATACCTGAGGTAAGGAAAAGCCATTGGGAAATGCAGGCACTTGGGAAGGGAAGGTAAATGTCTGGTCAGGAGGGCAGGGGACAGAAAGGGACATCTGACAGAGCAGTGGTGGCCACACCAAGCACAGCAGCACCAACCATCCTGGTGCTCTGCAAGACACACGTGCTTTGGGGCAGCACTTGGGAAGAACCAACCCGGGCTGCTCCTCCTGGGGAAGCCTTGTGGCTTTTGGGTACGCTGAGCTTTGCTGCACCCAATAATTCCTGCCAGGATGGTTGGTCCATTTCCACCAAGCTCAGCAGAGCCAACTTGCTGGGCAGCATTTTGGAGCAGTGAGGGCTCTGCTGCACTGGAAGGAGTCTCAGCTGAAGGTCTCCTGCAACCTGGGGTTGAATCATGGACGATCTGGCCACAGAGGGAAGGACAGCTGGTGAGCAGGCAGTGCCAAAACAAATGGTTGGTGTGAGTCATCTTGTCAAAAGATCTGGCATCATTTTTTGATACAGTCACGAGCTTTGGTTGATGGAAGCATGTAGCCCAATGGCCTCCTAGTTTTTAAAGTTTTGACTTGAATCCCTCTGGGAGATGTGGCATTACCCATTCTCCCTCACTGAGGAGAGGAGGCTCCTAAGGACCAGGTGAGCTGGCCCCTCTAGAGTTCTGGACAAGGACTTGCTCTGCAGGGCTGGGCAAATCAGTGTCACCTGGGCAAGGGTGTCCCCAAGCCCTGTCCGCACATGGTGCTCCTGCCCACACTTCAAACCCTCCATTGACAAAACAGACATGGCCTGGGAGGGAGATGTGAAGAAAATGAACAGTTTGGAATGGATGCCTTGTAGAACAGTACCACAGAAACGTTCTGCATGGAAGTCCCCCCCAAGAGGAGCAAGGGGGCTCGATCGTGGTGTGCCCAGGAGGTGGTTCCTGATAGCAGCCAGCTCTTTAATCTAATAGCAAAATACATGATGAGATCCAGCACTTGGAAGCTGAAGCCAGGCAAATTCAGACTAGAAACAAGGAGCTATATTTTTTTTTTTTTAGCAGTGAGGATAATTAACCATAGGAACAATTTACCAAGGAATGTGGTGGATTCTCCCAACTCCTGAAGGATTCAAATGAGGAGTCTGCATATCTCTCCAGAGATAAGATATGCTTTAACAGACAGCCTTGACTCAATGCAGGAGGAGAAGGAAGGGGTCTGAGTGTGGGACCAGAATGTCATCAGCTGGTCTCTCTTGCTTCAAAATGCTGATTTTCTGATTTAAGAAAAGAGGTGAATGGAGAAGGGTGAAGCCTTGGGACTGACATTACCCATCTCTGTCCTCGCAGGGGGACTCTGGGCAGCGGTGGGTGCCCCCGGTGTCCCAACCCGCTCTGGACAGCAGCAGCCGCACCAGCCCATCCTGTGCGAAGCCTCCGGGCTGCCACCACCTCCCTTTTCATTTTTAATGGCCTTCTTATCGCAGAAAGCAAGGGCCAGATGCCGAAAAGAAGGTTTTCCCTGCGGGTTGAGGGGAAGGTTTTCCCTGTTTTCTGGCAGGCTGAGCTCCGGGAGCAAGACGGGGCACGCCGGCATCGTGCCCGGCCCGGCGGCAGCGCGGCCCCGCTGCCCGGAGCTGCCCGGACACGCTGCAGCCCATCGCGGCGGATTTCTCGCCGTGCAGCCCCTCGCCACGCCAGCCAGCTGGTAACCGGCGGATAATTAGGATTTTTCTCAAGTCGGGTTGGCGGCGGAGCGCTGTCACATAAGGCGCGGATGCGGAGGTGTTAATGGGGTCTTTGGCCTCCCGCGGCCAAAGGGATGTGGGGGCAGTGATGGATGCTGAGGCTCCACATCAACCCTGCATCCACGAGCCATTGAGGGCATTCACTCAGTGGAATCTTGTGGTGTCCAGAACATTTCCTTGGGGCAGCAGCACCAGGGCTCACACGGAGGAGATGGACAAACCCCCGAGCAGGCGGGCAGGGGGGTCTCTGACACAGGCACCGAGGGTCTGAACCACCCCCAGGGTCTTGTTGCTGCTTCAGAGAGCAAAGAGCCTGCGAGGGAAAGGCTGGAGAGGGGGAGAGCTGCTCCTGCTGCTGGGGATGGCTGTCCAGCATCACCCACAGCAAACCAGTCTGCATGCCAGTGCTCGGCCAGTGGGGATGGCAGCATGGGACTGGTTCCACTTGATAGATCTTGCAGCTGGAGCATGAGCACCGGGGAGCTGAAATGCTTTCTCTGGGCCTGAATGAGCAGGATGGGAGTAACTGGTGTGCTGGGAGGCAGGTTCTCCCTTGCTGGTCGCTGTCTGTGGCTTTTTAGGGTAGAGGCAGATATGAAGAGGAGGGAAAATTCTTCAGGAACATCTCTGTACCACAAACCCTCTCTGGCACCCATATCCCATGCAGGTTGCTGTCCAACAGCCATAGCCTGGAAATGATTTGGGCCGAAGCTGAGGACACCCTGAGTAGCTGTGCAGATGAGCGTGTGGATATTTTGGTGTGCTAGAAGTAGGAAAGCAACCTCAGCACCAGAGCCCATCAAAGCCAACCACTGGAGGCTTTCCACCAGCTCTGTCAGGGTGTGGATG